CCCCCGCAGCCATTTGCTAAACACAAGGGCCCCTGGGCTCCAGATCTTTCCAGGAGTGTGCTTCGGAGTTGGGAACACTAGGAAGACAACCGTGTTCAGAACTTACGCTCCCGTGACCCCTTACCTGACGGGGACTGGTTTTCAAGCTGTTGACTCTGGGGTAGCTGGATTAGGTTGTGGCTTAACTTTTTTACTTCCTAGTTTCCGGAGTTGACGGAGCAAAAGCTTCGTGCCTGCATAGAGGACAGCGTGAACGCACACAGTGCACACTGTCCCCACACGCCTGAATTTTCGGTCACACAGGCGACGGGAGAAAGGCCCACTCTTCTCATGAGCTGCCTGGTAAGCCTGCTGGGGACCCCATGGCGAGAGCGGGCCAGTCGTAGGTTCTCTTCCCGCACCGGGAGAAATCCCACCTCAGAAACGGAGATGTTTATCTTCTTACCTCCTTTTAAACTGTGTTCTTTTGAACCGGGTAGGTGTTTGAAAGTGCAGTTTGTTCTCTGAGGGGTTTACTTGCCCAGGAAGATGAAGCCGCTGAAACTACCGGAAGGCCACCCAGGAGTGGGGAGCCTGGCCCAGAGTCAGCGGATATTGTCACACTCACGAGACCCAGACAGGCCGGCCCGTGTCCGTTGTGCAGGAGGAAGCAGGAGGGCGTCGGGTCACTGGGGAGACAAGTGCCCCTGTGAGGGGGCTGGACGGTGGGGAGGGAGGCAGCTGTGCCGCGGGCTCCGTCTGTGATGAGGGGACGTGTCCCCACTGCTGGGGGTGGGAAGCAGGCTCGCGTCAGGCTCGTCCTCCAGGGAGACCGAGCCGGCCCTGGAGTCCGGGTCTCTGGTTCCAGCGCCTCCGCTGTTCCCTGCTCAGGGCTCGGGCCGGTGGGGACCGGCTTTCCCGCAGGCAGGGTGGGGAGGACCCTGGGTGAGGTTTAAGTGGCAGGCGGCCGTCCCCCCTGCTCCAGCCCCTCACAGACCAGGCACCTCCGGGGGCTCCCGCTCAGCGTCCGACGCTCGAGGCTGGTTTGCACCCGTGAGTGAGCACTGCCGCGTGCACCGTGGCAGCCCGAGTCCTGCTGTCCTTGGGCTCCCGCTGTGCCTGATGCCGCGTCTCCACGACACCACTCGTGCCTTCGTCCTTGAGGGCGACCCCACACCTTGACTGTCCTCCCAGCCCCAGCACGTAGGCAGGTGCCTGATGCGTCTGCAGCAACGGGTTGAGGTCGGGGTGGGGGCTCAGACGGGGCGCAGGTCAAGTGGCTTCGGCCCCCGCCTCCTTGCGGAGATGGGCGAGCCAGCCACCTGAGGCGTGTGGCGCGGGAACGTGAGCCCCAGCCGCGGGCTGGAGGGAGTGGCTGGGAGCACCCAGCGGCACCCCAGCGCGTGACCGTCGCGGGCCCCGGTCCGTGGGGTCAGGGCCCCGAAGCTCTGAGCAGAGGGAAGGCGGGCGGAGGCGAGGCCAGCCCTCCTGGGCACAGCTTGCCAGCGCGGCCTTCCCGTGGGGAGAGACCGCCATGGGGCCGGCGGGTGACAGAAGCAGGGTTGAGTTCATGTGCCCGGAGCGCTGGAACTCGGGTCACCAGGCCTCTGGCTTCACGCGAGGGGGAGTCCAGGACCGAGGGGTCAGGCTGCGGGGGTTCGGCCTGGATGTGGGGCGCGAGGCGAAGCCGCAGGTGCGGGCTACGAGAGGTCACGCGTGGCCACGAGGACACGGGAGGCAGGAGATGTGCGAGCGGTCTGGGCTGGTCACAGGCTGGAGGGCGCTAGACCCCAGAAAGCCACATGTATCCCCTGTGGAAGCGGTTGGGGACTCCGTGGCATGGTGGCCGGGTGAGCGGTCAGGGAGTCAGGGAGTCAGGAGCCCGTTTTCACTCCGATGCTTACCGGGCCTCAAGTTGGGGTTCTGCCCGTGGGGGGCACGCGTGGTCTGTACCTCCCTGCGGCACATGCCTGTTTGAGGCCCGGGGTCAGTGGGAGGAGCCTCACCTCCCCGCGTGGCCGCAAAAGCCACCAGCTGTCAGAGGCTTGAATCTGGCCTCTGGCTTCCCCCGTCCCAAGGGGGAGGGCGTTTGAGTGTCTCTGGGATCTGATCTCAGCTGGAGGCCACCGTGCTGCTGCTGGCAGCCAAGGCCAAGGCAGTCGTCCTGGGGCTGCGGGAGGGCGGTCCCCAGCACAGCCCCAGAGCCAGGCTCTCCATGCTGGCGCCACACCGCCCAAACCAGCGCAGCACAGATGTCACTACTGATTAGACCCGAACCACACCCTGAGTTCTGTCCACATTCCAGGCTTGTGACACTTGGACCGCGATCCTCTAGAACCGGCCCGGCACCTCCCCGCTCGCTCCATCGGACAAAGGGCCTTGTAAATAGAAACGTTTAATTTATAACTTATTTTGTATTAAAATTTTCAAACGTCTCTGCTGTCGGGTGTTCTGTGATTCAGGCTGAGGGAAGGAATAGAAAAGACGGGACACCTCAGGGGAGCGAAACCAATTTTATTGTCCGTCATTCTGTTATACAAAATTCCAGGAGCGACAGAGCCTAGAGGAGGAGTCAACGAACAGTAAATAAGAGGGCAACAGAAATAATTTAAATCTGAATTATTTTCCATGATATCAGCACGAAAACCGTCTCCAAGCACGCGTGTCTAGCTCCAGAGCGGGCTTGTCCCCTGGCCAAAGCCTGCCGTAAACGCAAGGCGTTCAACGTCTGCTCTGGTCTGGCTTACTGGCTCTTGACGAACCCCTTCAGGTCTTCGAGAAAAGTGATGTACTCCCGGTGCTCCAGGGCCGTGCTGAGCTCCACCAGCTCATCGGCGAAAGTGTTGTCCACCCCCCGGTCGGCCAGGAAGTCCATCAGGTGGTCGTATAAGGCCTGGAGACAGAAACGCCCTCGCTACCAAGGTGCCGCGTGTCCCCCCCCAGACCAGGACGCTCGCCCCGCGGGGCCCAGGGCGCGCCCACCTTCCCGGGGGCTCACCCAGTCCAGGGAGTCCGTGTTGAGCGTGTAGTTCGTGTCCTTCCACTCAGACTCGCCAACCGACTGAAAGCTCACTTCTCTGATGGCGAAGATGTCACTCTCGTCCTCCTCTTCCTGCCCCACCTGAAAGGACACGGGATTTGGGGAAAGTGAAGGGGCTTCTGGGACAAACCAGACCATTAACAGCTTGGGAGTCACCAGATTTTAACCTGCCCTCACCCCCCACGTCCTCCCCTGCTCTGCTGGCCCCTGAACGGGCCCAGGAAGGTCCCTGGAGGCCCTCCCCGTCCCCAGGGGGGCGGGCATGCCACCCTACACACCTCATCTTCCGGATAGTGACAGTCCAGAACCAGGGCCTTCTTGCCGCCGTTCTTTATAACCTCCACCACGAAATTGGGAGTGGACGTCAGTTCGGGCTGGGGAAGCGAGAACAAGTCAGCGCGTGCTGCGCCGGCAGGGGGGCGGGTGCCCGGACCGGAGAGCTCACCCTGCGGGGCCCTGATGACCACGGCTGGGGTGGCAGTCGGCGCTTTCAGACGATACGCACTAGTGCCCGTAAGTGAACAGCCTGGAATGCTAACGGCATCGAGGCCACACGCCCGCTCATTGGGGAGACCGGGCTACCCTGTTCCTGAGTAGGTCCTTTCTGGACTTCTTTTTTAAAATTTTTTTTTTTCAACGTTTATTTATTTTTG